TGTTGATAGGAGCACTGGCCAGGGGCCAGGTGTCCTCTGCTGAAATCCTGACTTGCTTTTGCCAGCCCAGCCTGACCACAGTCATCTTGCAGGAACTCTGGAGACCAGAAGGTCACTACTGCCATTGCTCTTTGAAGACAGTGGCCTGCTCCACAGCACACTTTGTAGACAGGGAGCAGTTGCCAACAGTGTTCCAACCAGCTTACCCGGAGCTGTGTGCGGGTGGTTTCATGGTTAAAAGTCCTCATAGTGTAAAAAGAAATCAGAGTAACAGGTGCGCATACGTCTGATGTTGTCTCCATAGTTACCACCTCTGCCTTCTATTCCATCACCCTGTCTCGCTTGCAGAGTTTACTTTCCATGCACTTGCGTTCCCGTCTCCCTTTGCTGATAAGCAGAGCCCTTTCCTAATTAAGTCTACATGTAGGCAGGGGCAGCATCTCTTTTGGCAAGAGGACCTGAGCAGAACCAGCCCCAGAAGCAAGTGAGAATGTGTGTCAAGCTGTGATTAAGTAGCTGTGATTAAAGACTCAATAATTACGCTCCCAAGCAAATAGGTCTTAAAATGTTCTCTCAGGCTACAAGCATGAAACCTACTGGGCCTGCATGGTGGCTCACTAGGAAGGAGCAGGGAGGTCGAGACACTTAGGACATAAAGTGTTCATTTAAGAAAGGAAACCCAGGACCAAGGAAAGGTCCTCTAATAAGTAGTCACAGCTGCCGACCGAATCTTCATCTTCAAAAATTGCCCAGGTCTCTGGCTACCTGGAGATCAGCATTCTGAACCATGGCCCCATCGTGACAGATATGACATTCACATATTTGACACATTCTCTGAGCTCTGTGTAATCCTGCTGAAATACCTATAATTTCCCTTTTCTTTTTCAAACTAAAAAAAATTGTTGGAATATAGTTGATAAAAATGATGTCATATTTGTTTTTTATTTAGTTTATAAAATGATACATTTCCCGAAAGTGTGCCAATTAACTGTGGTTGGTAGTCAATAACGCTGGTATCTTATGCAATGTATTTCTTACCCACATGTGTGTTTTTCCTATTCTAGGCCAATGCAGCAGCCTCTTCTGCATTCTTTTATATGCCCACCTTCTCCCAATTTGATACAGTTTGTCCTCCTTGCAAGGCCTGCGTAACATTCCGGGCAATGATCCCTAGGAAAGTGGTGCAGTCTGATAGTTAGAATTATGGACGCCAAACCCTTTCAGTTATGACCTGCTATTTGTTGGTTTTGGCTGGAATGAGTATTTGGGAGCATATTTACTGAGGTTAATTGGCAAGCAAATGCCAAGGGAACAAAACATTAAAAAGTTTGGGTATGGCCGAAACCAGTTTGGCTCAATGGATAGAGTGTCAGCCTGCAGACTGAAAGGTCCCAGGTTCAATTCCGGTCAAGGGCATGTACCTTGGTTGTGGGCACATCCCCAGTGGGGATTGTGCAGGGGGCAGCTAATCGATGTTTCTCTCTCATCGATGTTTCTAACTCTCTATCTCTCTCCCTTCCTCTCCGTAAAAAATCAATAAAAAATATATTAAAAAATAGTTTGGGTATGGTTTAGTATCTTTAGTATACCCAGTCCTAACTTGGCTATTTATGAGAAAGGGGTGCTGTGGGGAAAAAAGAACAACATGAAGACCTTAGTTCAAGGAGAATCAGGATTGAATCATGGGTCCTCCTTGGCTTTGAGCCATCCTTAATCACTCTCAACTATCAGGTTTTAATCTCAAAAAATGTAAATATTTTTGAAATGGTAAAATTGCTACAAGGTTTAGAGACAATGGGTACAAAAATGCCCTGGTAATGCCTAGCCCGCAGTAGCACTTAACAAAAAAGCCTTAAGAAAATGTTTATTTACCCAAATACCATTGTCTACCATGGATGGACCACCTCAAGTATGTGGTGAGAGTTACAAGCCTCAATATTTTGGAGACTTTAGCATACACTGAGTGATTGAGGAGGGGTCTGGGATGAGACACGACAGAGGCAAAAGGAAGAAAACTGTGACAAGCAAAATGTTTCCTGAAACCCTTGCAAACATTTGGGGACATTTCTGGATAAAGAGATTCAAGGCCTCTCTTAATGCATGCGATTTGAATTGCAGAAGAAATTGGCTTTTGCCTATCCCATCATGTCAAGCTGACTTGTTGTGCTGCTGAGACAATCCCAAAGCAACTGCTTTTCACAACACATTAGAGAAGACGTTCTGATCCCTGCTGCTCTGGGTAAATTTTTCAAACTCCAAATAGATGCAGTAAACATGTAAGTATAAATATGACCACCATTTGTTTAACTGTGACAATTTTAGATAGTTTTGGCATGCTCAAAGGTACAGAGATTTTTTTTGTGGGTGAATAAAAAATATCTTGGATATTGTTATCCCACTTTGGCTAAGTCTTGGGTGACATTATTAATTTCTTGTAAAATTGGCGTGTTTACATATAATACCACATTATGGGAAAGGACAAAAATGTTAAAAGTTTGCCTCCCTGGAGAGAGTGGGGCTGGAGAAGAGTGTAGCAGACAATTATTTATGGGTCACTTTGAATGAACACAATTGTCACGGCTTTTGTCTGATGATGGAAAGATTCTCTAGTTGTTTATTTTGATTAGCACTGGCATTAATGCTGGCTTTCTGGCGATCTTAAACTTCCTAATGTCGAATATTTAGATGTGTCTGTAATGATGTTTAAAGATCATCTCAAACATGGAGGCATATTTTGCTGAAGAAGAACAGTTACCATTCTTTTATGGGGATGCTCTTCCCGGAAGGAGAAGCCTGGCCAGAGTGTTTTTTTAAAGTTCAGATTCGGAAGGAAGTTTTTCTCAATAATGAAACTGATTTTTCCTATTAAGGCAGAAGAGGAGCGAGGTTTGCATATTCACATCCTTCCCTGGTGCCTACATCCATAATAGGACACCCACATCTGGTAGAGCTGTTACACGACAGGCAGAAAGTCCAGAAGAGTCTAAAAATCTAGCCAACATCTAACTCCAGAACCCAATTTATGAGCACAAGGCAGAATGTCTATCAGGTCAGCAAGAAGACTCTTTCCGGAAAGAGGTAAGAAAGTGGCAATATTCTATATCCAAACACAACCAACAACCAAATCCAGTCCACATACAAACATTCCCTCCATGGCAGTATGCACAAGTATTAGCCTTTCAGAAGGATTTAAGGAAATTATCATTTTGCTGTAAGGGAAGAAGAAATAGATGATGTTGTCTACTGTTTTGCCATGAATGTTTAAATAATGGCTACATTCTACTTCAAAATTTTTAGAGGGAATTACCCAAATATGGGGAAAGAGGCCACTGAAATGACAAGTAGTTTTAGACCAGTGATTCTAGTCTATAATTATTCCAAAACCATAAATCTCATTTTATAATTCTTACTGTAAAATATGAAAAATATTTCAATTTTTACATATAACCATCTTCATATTTAGTAGGCATACTGAGCTATTAAGGTTTACCAAAATTTGGTAGACCAAAAAAAACCCAAAAAAACCCCAGCATGTTGCCTAAAGAAAGTATAATAGAAATAGTTGAAATAAATGGGATACTGGATCTTTTACAAGACTAAATGGACATTTGTCAAAAACTCCTTGCAAACTCCTGCTATTGATGGGCTTTTAGTCAGTATGCTCCCAAGATAAGTGTGTGTCACTCAAATTTCAGGAAGGATATCCTTAAATCACACGGCTCATTCCACCATTCTCCAGTTGCATGGAGACCTTGGCTCTCATCCATTATGCACTAGTGAAGCAGCTCAGAAGAAATGGATGTGCCTTTCAAAATATTATCACCTGTGGCTTTTCATATTAGAGTTCTGAAAAAGGTAAGTGATTTGTCAAGAAAGATTTTTCTAGGCCCTGTCAAAGAGGCTATAGAGTAACTCTGCAGCCTCTACGTTAGCATGGAATTAGCACCCATCCCACCCAAACCTTTTGACCTTTAAATATGTGACATGAGAAGACTTCCTCCATGTGATCTAGGAACTGCTTAGTGGAATTTTGTCCACAGTAGTTAAGTTGAAAAAATTACCCTCATCTCCTCTGTCTTACAATAGGAAAAACCATCCTTTCACTGGTTCTTCCTTCCTTCCTTCCTTTTTAAAAAAATATTTTATTGATTTTTTTTATAGAGAGGAAGGGAGAGAGATAGAGAGTTAGAAACATTGATCAGCTGCCTCCTGCACACTCCCCATTGGGGATGTGTCCGAAACCAAGGTACGTGCCCTTGACCAGAATCTAACCTGGGACCCTTGAATCCGAAGACCGGTGCTCTATCCACTGAGTCAAACCGGTTAGGGCCTGACTGGTTCTTTCAATATACTCTAGACCCAGGCCTAAAGGATGTGCCTCCTTTAGTGCAGAGATATGAGTGCCCCTCACCCTCATCCTTGGGAATCAGGAGAAGTCGCTGGTCAAATCGCCGAAAAAGGTAAATCTCACTGTTTAACCCAAGCTAAGACACTGGATGTGTCAGAAATGAAGTTCAAAACTTGCTCTAAAATGAATGATTATCACCCACCATCTTAAGGCTCTTCCTCTCCACTGTAAATCTCCAACACTGCTGTCAGAAAGCTTAGCCTGAAAATAAAATCCCCTCACTCCATCAAGAACTAGCTCCAAACTTAGTGTGTGCTGAAAATATTCATGATGAAATCATAATCCTATATTTATAGACTTTTGGATTGTGCATGAAATTCTGTTTCCCATGGTGTTTTTCAATGAAGGGGCCAGAAGTGGAGAGCGGGCTCAGAGGATGCCCCAGAGAGCATTAGCCTCAAGGACGTGCTGTTTTTCCTCATTTTGAGCTGGGTGGCTGTGTGACATCCTCCCTCCTCCCTGAGCCTTACCCCACAGCCCAAGAGTTGGTCTCCTCCCCGACCCATTCCCAGATGGTCCCTGGTAGGAGGGCTCTGTCTTGACATCCAGGAAGAGTGAACATGCCTAATATTATCCCCCCCTTCCTTCTGACCTTTCCTGTCCTCTAGACTTCCTCCCCATTTTCACTGAGGGAGATGGTGTGGATCTTAATGGTTGGAATTTGATGGTTCTCTCCATGGCTGGGGGTCGAGGGCCCCATGCAGCAGCAGACCTGCAAAAAGCTTTTACTTCTCACCCGGGCTGTGGTGCAGGCTGATTGGTCTTTGGACACTGTAATCTTGGCAGATCCACGAGGCAGGGAAGAGAAATACTTCCATTCACAGACCCCATCTGTCTTGGAGATCTTATAGAAGGTCTCTCCTGAGCTCACGGGGATGCGCACCAGGTCCTTGTGCTGCCCCTCTGAGGCGTGGCTGGGAGGGTGCAGGGTGTATCCCAGGGCCCGTTTGGAAGACTGCCTTTTGCGGAGACACTGGATTTTCAAGACATTCTGAAAGGCCTTTTTAAACTCTTGACTGGAGCATGGGTATATAATAGGGTTGATGCAGCTGTTTAGGTATCCGAGCCAAAATGCTATTTTAAAAACTGTTTCAGAGGGCTTGAAGTCAGGGAAGAAAGACCCTGGAAGGAAACACATAGAGTTTGTACATATTATTTGCAAGCCAACAGGTCAACGGTCTAAGAAAACAAGCAAACAAGCCAACAAACTTTTTTTACATTATTTTTTCAAAGTTTCAAATGATTCCAAATGCATTTGAGTCTTTCACATTTGACTGACTAGCTCTGATGAATGTAATTCTTTGCACGATCCCCAAGACCATTCTCTTTGGCCCACATGCACAACATCACTAATGCAAGGCCGGTGGGTAGGGTCACACTGATAAACATTCTCAGGGTTCTCAGTGACAAACATCCCCTCTTGTCTGCTTGAAAGCTTTAGATAATGAAAACTCAGAACTTAGGCTGAGGCTACATATGCAAATCCTTTTTTGCCTGAATTTTAAAATAACTTGGAATTCATTCAAATAATCCATATCAAAATGGGGTTATTTTAGCATTCCTTTTGTTCTTTAAAGCAATGTTATACAGACATGGCCTAAATAGTTATGAATTCCTTCTCTCCTGAATATTGGAATTGTATATTTTAAATAAGAATTCAAAATTTATAAAATATTAGCTGTGTCAACTTTTGGCCAGTGATTTCCAATTACACTGTAAGTACAGTCACCTACCTACTGTATTTTTCGGACCATAAGACGCACTTTTTCCCCCCCAGAAGTGGGGGGGAAAAGTCCCTGTGTCTTATGGTTCAAATATAGCCTACACAAATACTTTAAAAAAATAGTTTTTTTACTCGCCCGGCTCTGTGTGGTCTCTGTGTGCTTGCCCGGCTCTAAAATGGTTCTAAATGCTGCTGTTCACTTTACAGGGTTGATTACATGTGTTTATGACTGTGATGTTGGGTTTTAATGCACATAAAATATTTTAGGACACTATTTGTTTCAGAATCTTTTTTTCTTCATTTCCCTTCTCTAAAAACTGGTGTGTCTTATGGTCCGGTGCGTCTTATGGTCTGAAAAATACGGTACTTTGCTTAGACTTACACTTTTACTTTGGTGCAAATTCATCAGAAACTGCACTTTGAGTTGTGGTCTTTTCCTGGGCTAGTAGTATGTGGCAGGATACTGGGCAGTGGCAGCAAGATGATTTTGCCTAAGCGTAGGCTAATGTAAGTGTGCTGAACCCATTTAAGGTAAACTAGGCTAAGGCAGGTTAAGTATGTTAAATGCATGTTTTTAACTTATGATCTTTTCAACTCACAATAGGTTTATTGGAGTATAACTCTATGAGGAGTGTCTGTATTTTTCTTTGATGATGCTTTTGATGTTACAATATGCTTCCCTGCTCAACTCACGCCAATGGCTGCCAAAATTCTTATAAAACGCTTGTCAACTGCTTGACATTCAAGGTTCTCCACAGAACTCGACCTAATTAGCTTCCTAACATTAATACTTTCACTCTAACCAGGCACTATGAACTTGTCTCCAAGTTTGTACCGAGTCTGGTTGCTCACTTTTTTTTGTCCTTTTGAGTTGGGTCCCCATGTCTAAAACGCCCTTTCTCATCCTCTTTAGCTACTCAAGTCTTGTTCATTAGTTAACAAAGCAGGAATCAAGTTTCAGACCTCTTTAAATATTGTACCATAACTATCACATAGTCATTGGGAGCAGAATAACAAAACCAAGGAACCTTAGAGTGGGAACAATCTAAGGCATTATCTTATTCAATTATTCAATTTCCAAGTTAAAAGCATGATGATTGTCACCCACTTGATAGCTATGGTACTAATACAATGATGGATAAAGAGATCTAGAACCCCTAGTTCAGTGTTCTTTATTCTCTGCACAACTTTTTTTCTTTTGCTCCAGCTTAAAGCCTTTATTTTATTTTTAAATATATTTTGTTAATTTCAGAGAGAAGGGGAGAAGCATCCTATATAATAAAAGGCTAATATGTAAACAGACTGAATAACCAAACAACCGGCCACCAGGGAGCACCCACAAAAGCATGGCAGGCATTGGCCATAGCGGGATGGTGGAGCAGGTGACCAGGGGTGCCAAAGTAGGGTACCAGTCTCTGTCATTGGGGTGAACCTCTGATGGTTACTGAAAATTCTTTGCTCATATGCACCTGGTACTCATACCTGCTGCCAGAGCTGGTCCCGCTCACACCCACTGCCTCTCTACCTCACCCTGCTCCTGAGGGGTGATCGGGGCCAGCAGCCACCACTCACACCCACTAATGGTGCCATCCCTGCTGGCACCCACTGCTGGTGCTGGCCCCAATCGCTCTGCACCATCATCAGGTACAAGTGGGGCCAGCATCATCAGCACATGGGAGCAATGGCAGCTGGAGCGGGGCTGCCTGCAGACAGGGGACCAAGGGCCACAGTGGGAGGGGCTGAGACTCACCCTGTGCCCACATCAGCCTCACAGCCCACAGTTCCTTTCAAGGTGCATGAATTTGTGCATTAGGCCCCTAGTCAATGATAAAAGAGAATCATTGGTTGGCTGCCTTCTGTACGTGCCCAAAGGGGGATCAAGCCCGCAACCCAGGCACATGCCTTGATTAGGAATCGAATGGGTGACCTCCTGATTCATGGGCCACGCTCAACCACTGATCCACACCAGCTGGGCAAGGCCTTGCTTTTATGCCTTTCTTTTTCTCTCAACTCTATGGACCCATTAGAGGGATGACAAACTGATGGGTGTCCTTATTCTAGCAAACAATGCCCTAAAATTTAGTATAGGATTTCATCAATATAAACAAAAAGTACACTTAAATATTGCAAAACAAACAAACAAACAAAAAACCCAAAATAATAAAGGTCAATGAGAGCATGTATTATCTCTGAGACACATTCCCTGCTAAGTTCAGTGTGTTTCAATTAAAACACACACACACACACACACACAAAAACCCAGAATGGTTGTAAAGTATTATTCTTTAGCTCCAAAGATTTTTAATATTTTCTTATAATTATAATAGGACTTACTTATATTGAATGCCTGGTTTTGAGCCAGGCCTGTGCTAAACACTTTACATACAATATAGCAACATCCCCACCTTACAAATGAGGAAACAGTGGTTTAATGAGGTTGAATAACTTAATGTCACACTGGCAGATAGTTGCTGGTAGAGGTGGGATTTAAAATTGGACAGCTGGGTTTTGGGCCTATGTTCCTGTATGGAATCTCAAAATAGATTTGAATAATATATCTATTGGGAAAGAAGATGTTGAATAGAGAGTGATGAAGTGTATAGTTTCAGGAAGCTAAAGTGAAAAGATACTTTTTCTCTTTCTTTTTCTTTTAATTTGTATTGGTTTCAGGTGTACAGTGTAACAGTTAGACAATCATATACTTTACAAAGTGATCCCCCCCAATATTTAAAGTTCCCACCTGACCCCATGCCTAATTACTACAATATTATTGATTATATTCCCTATGCTGTACTTTACAGCCTCTTGACTATTCTATAACTACCAATTTGTACTTCTTAATCTCTTCATGTCTTTCACCCAGTCCCCTAATCTCCCACCCCTCTGGCAGCCACCAGTCTATGAGTCTGTGTCTATGAGTCTATTTCAATTTTGGTTGTTTATGTTTGTTTGTTTATGCTTTTTCAAACTTCATTTGAGAAGTGAAGAAAGTGGCCAAGGCCAACAGGAGTGGTGGTTTTACTTGAATAAGATCAATTTTAGAAAAAATTATTGTTACATTATGATGCCAATATATTGTCCAATATGTTTTCCTAATACAATAGTGACATGATTAAGGGAACCTGCTTCACAAATGCATGCCTTGATCTGGCCTTAATAAGAATATATAGCAGGGTATACCAAGAACTACTTTGTCTGAGAATTTCACTATTCTATAAATCAACTAGAAAGGGGAATATGTTTCTATTATTTTAAGAATTTTAATTAAAAGAAAAGGAAAAATACATGAATTATGAATGGAAATTCTAATAAATTTATTTTGGATCCTTGGAATTTTCCCCAATTCCTTCAAGGATACTCTTTCTGCTTACAGAGTCCTGATCTGCATGCGTAAATATAAATCTCAAATGTCCTTTTAGTCCCTCCTCGACCCCCCTTACTTTCAGTCTGGCTGACTCAGAGCTGAGCTCTTGGGTTCTCTCTACTGTGGCCTTCCTGCTCCGTCTACAGCTTCATAGCTAAATACTGGATCTCCCCACTACAGCAACAATCTCTGCTCAGACTTTGCTTCAAGAAGACCATATAGCTCCCAGCTTAACCTCTTGAACCCATCACCCTGAAGGTCAAGTTATCCCTTTATGTGAATCTGTCTTTTAATTCTTGAGCTTTGTAAACCCCCCCCAAGTCCTCAGGACTCTTCCCTTCACTGAGTTTCCTTCCACTATTTGGTCTGCTGTTGAATCTCTGACTCTCTTCTCTTCAAGATCTTCTAAATCCTGGTCAACTAAAACTTGGCCAGACTGAGGTAGACAGAACATGAGTTTATCCCTGAGCACCATCAACATGTTGGAGATGCAGAATTGTTGTCTCCACTGTTGAGACATCTAGATTTCACAGGGAAATTGAAAATTATGATTTCAAATAATTTTTGCTCTCAATATATTTTTCTGCCAATTTTGGTTTTCTTTTTTCTTTCCCCCCCCCCCCCCAGCAGTGCTTCTAGTTCACTCTATAAGACAGTAGAGACTAAAGTAGAGTTCTCAAGTTCCAGTCCAGTACTGGGAATTATAAGTTTTCTCTAATTCAACTCTTTCAGAGTGAGGGTGACTTGGTATGGAAGCATAAACCTGTGAGTCAATTCTCTATGTTCCTAGCCTCCCAGCTTCTATGCTTCATTTCACCTCCCTGGAAATGTGACATCTTCAAGACAACTTTGAGACATTGGATTATGATAAACCCTAATTAGCTGGAGTCACAGAATGCTAGAATGTGAAGACTGGCAGAATCATAGAGACTAGCAAGGACTGTCAACCTTTCCTTCATAGATGAAGATAGAAAGGCTGAGGAAAGAAAGGGGGGCCCCAAAAAATCACCTGGCTCATTTGTGCCCCAGTTAGGA